TCAGTAAATTCCGCGAAGCCTTTCCAATCAGCTTTAGAAAAGTTGATATAGGTCCGGTGTTCCGCGGAAGCAAAGTCGGTTGGTTTATCGATCGAGATGACTATGGGCAGATGGTCTGATGCCAAAGTCAGCATAGGTCGCCATGATATGCTGTTTATCAGACCAGCGCTGACTATGGTGATGTCTGGCGAGCTGCAGCAGCTGCCCATAATCCTGGCGGGTGCGTCGTCGTTCATTGTGCAGAATGTCGAATCGTCTATCTGCTCAGCCAAGTCAGGTCAAAGATCGTGGAGCGCATTAAAGTCACCTACTACCATACGGTTTTCACCTCTGAGGAGCGCACCTATGTCAGGGTGATATCCTGCCGGGCAGCAGGTGACAGGGGGTATATAAACGTTAAATATTTCGAGATCAACATCGATTGACCGGATAGCAATACACTGACATTCTAGGGTGGTATTCCTGCGGTCGATGTCTGCTTCGATGAGACGATATTGCACGGTGTGGTGCGTGATGAACGCTAGGCCACCACCATTATCTCGCTCGCGATCTCGACGGTGCACGTTGTACCCGGCATAATGCAACAGTGTTGAATTGCTGTGCAACTTCGTCTCTTGGACCGCAGCTATCAATATACCATGCCTTCCCATGAAGACGGTTATCTCCTCGATCTTGCTCTGAAGCCCGTTACAGTTAAATTGAAGGAACTTCATGTGGTTCGGGAGACGTGTGGTGATGCGGGGTGTGAGAGATGTGTGTGGCCGTGACGCCATTGGCTGTGTGGCTGCTGAGGTGGTTGCCGCCCTGTGTTGGTGGTGGGTGGCGTCGCAGTTGAGATCTGCGACCGAGCAGCGCAACACGGGCCCTCGAAGTTCCTCGTCCAATCTCGCGTGGTGCGCAGACCTGAGCATGCTCTAATGTGGCACCAGCCAAGGCAGGTGTTGCACTTGACTGATGTCATACCGTGCAGATTGTAGGAGGAACCAGGAGATGTTGGCGGCAGCGTGTGGGTAGTGGTGCGGTTGTGTGTGTTCTCTGGTCTGTCGTGGTTGTGATATAGTCTATTGTGTTGTTATGTTGTTGTGCTGTGGTGATTGTGTGGGGCTGCTCAGGTGGACTGGGGTTAGCCGTGGAGGCTGCTCTGTTTAGGCAGCAGGGGGCCACATACGACGTGATCCACTGCCGATGTGTCCGTAATCCTGAGCAGACTCTAAGGTGACTCCACCCCTCGCAGGCATTACACTTGACTGAGGTGGAGTTGTCGTGTAGTCGTCTCTGGCATACACAGCAGGTGTAGGTTTCTGGCCCTGGCTAGCCCTGAGCAGAAGAATACGTAGCGAATGTAGCCCTATGGACGAACAGATCGCCGATACAACAGCCCTTGGTCGGGTAAAACCCGAGTCATTCCGGTACGTAGAACCGGCTGTCGTGGGACATCGTCGCACTTGCTGTGAATCCTAAACGACATATAGCTGACAATGACACTGGTGACAATGTCGTGCAGGTGTACTCCTATCAAATACCTATATATAACAGACAATGTCTTGCAGCGGTCACTTATAAAAAGTCCATTGCAAGATACTGTCGCTTGAATGTCATCAATGATCACTGCATGAAAAGTCATGTAGATGACATCAACGACGAAATTACCATTTATATGAAAAAGCCATAAACGACTTCCATGTAAACGTAGCCCAAAGTCATTTAAGACGTAACTTTTCCGTACAAGACACTTAAGTGGCTAATGCATGACATTCGCTACGGGGTATTTCT